TGCTCAGCAATAACAGAATGAACTGTTGATATAACAGTGAGGTGAATTCCAAAGGCATTATGCTGAATGAAAGAAGCCAAGCAAATGGCTATGTGTTTTGTGGTTCCATTTATGTGACATTCTTGAAAAGGCAAAACTGGAGAACAAAACCGTGGTTGCCTGGGAGTGATGGTAGAGTTGAACTACAAAGAGTCATGAGGTAGATTTTTGGAATGATAGAAGCATTCTGTTTCTTGGTAATCGTGGTGGCTGCATGGTAATATATGTTTGTCAGGACTCAGAACTATACACCAAAATAGTGAATTTAATTTTATGTAAACTTTAAAAATTGTTTTAACAAAGTAAGAAAATTGATCCCCCCAATATGGCTGGAAAATAAAGGAACAGCTAACAGTTGGTATACACATTGCTGATGGACTTGAATAGACTACATCAGTAATTAACATTAAATCTGAACAGACTAAATACTCCAAATTTCAGATTAAAGGAATAAGACTTAAGTACATGCTATTTACAAAAGACACACTATAAATATAAGGACACAAAGTTTAAAAAGTAAAAGGATGGCAAAATACACATTGTGGAACATTGATTAGAAGAAAGTGGGATTTCTATATCGATGAACAAAGTAGGCTTTGAGACAAGGACTGTTACAGCAAAAAGACGTTTCAGAAGGATCCACCAACTCATAACAGTCCCAAATGTGTATGCTCTTATTACTTGAAAATACGTGAAGCACACATTGACAATAAAGAGCAAGAGGGAACACATAAACTTTCTTTGAGGCCAACATAATCCTTATTTATAAGAAAGCCTATGAGGAAAACTACAAGGAAAGAAAAACAGGTGTGTCAGAGAATTAATTTTTTGAGGTATCATTTGACCAGACTTAAAGAGGTTAAGAGTAAACTGCAGCCAAGGATGGAGAGGCCATCAAGTGAGATAGGGAAAGCTGCAGGCGAAACATTTCAGGGGAAAGGTCAGAAATCTAGTTTTGGATATGTTTAACTTGAGTTGTTTACTAGAGATGCTTTAGAGTTTAGGAGTGACCTCTAGGCTAGAGACAGATTTGGAACTTGGCAGCATTAAAGCCATAAGGCTATGAGATTGAGGTCACCAGGATAAGTGTAGACAGAGCAACCAAGTGTTGATGTGCAAGACCTTCAGAAAATTGTCTTTCCTCTTCAACCCCAGCTTCCACATTCACTCAAAGCACACTTTGTTTAACCATATTACATTCCCTATAGTTTTGAGAATACATCATTACTATTTTGTTCAAGTTCTACCTTAGAATGCATTTTTTGCTGTCCCACAGAACAAACTCCTAGTCATCCTTAACCTTTCCCGGGATCACCTACGTTCTAGTATTATTTTATACTTTATATGCATGTGCTATTACTTGTACATTGTATTTTGTGTATCTGTATTTTTTACTAGGTGTAAACTTTGCATTTTAGGTATTAGCACAGGGACGTTCAAATATTGAAACAACTTTGATGTTAATAAGAATTGTAGAAAATTTTAGCTTCATAAATGGAATTCTTTAAAGCTCTATTTAATTTTCTAATGGAGACTGAAGTTTTTAACTTAATTTAGAAATTCTTTTAACTTTAAAAGCTTTCTGGTTGTTTACAGTTTAGTAACGTTCTCATATTCTTGACATTTCTGCATAGCTCTCTGCCTTTGAGAGCTATGCTAAATTATATTTACAAGTTGTTGATATTACTCTGATATATTTAGAATGTCCACATCTTAAAATAATTTAGAGCTAAGTGATCAGGATTACAGAAGTATTCCATTTCAACCAGACATATCATATTCATGAGAGTTAAATTGTATTTGAAGTTGAATTTTGCTGACAGTTACATTTAATAGACATTTTGAAATTCTATTTGTAGCATATTCTAAGTCTATTAATAATCAAATTTGATTAATTCTTTAAAACAGCTATGACACAATATTTATAGTTTCCCAATTCTGTTTTAAAATATATTTGTCCATAGAAAACTATCGAAATACTATATACATCAAACTTATTTCTGGTGATATTCTTACAGGTACTTTTCATTTCATAAGTCATTTCTATGGTGATAGACTTTTTTTAATCAAGACATGTATTTTTTTTTTTTTAATTAGG